TACACTTTCACAGATATTAAACAGTTAATAAACCACCATTATTACACATTTAAACCCGAAGAAACACTAAATAGACAAAATAAAACAAATCACACAACTTCACTCCTCGCGTTCCCGCCAAAAAGTCTTTAAAACAGTAAACATTAAAATAGAGTTCTACCCTCAATAGTTTCACATCAACACATCCTCATTTAAAAGGCTAAGCTTCGGAATGGCTACTCGGGAGAGAAATAACGGAGTGGGTAGGTGAGACAACGGCCGAAGTGCCTTCTGATTAACGACCGAATAACGATGAATTTTATATGCAAATCTCTCTCTCTCTCTCTCTCTCTCGCTCTCTCAGTTCGTTTTATTTTTAAAATTAATAAAACCAGCGCAACGCACTTATAGGAAAGAAGATGTTATTATAGAGATGAGTAATGAGACAGAACCGCATTTATTCGACCTCTGTGTTCGTTGTCTTTTAAGGGTTGCCTGGAAATAAAAAGTTTTTCTTTTTTGATATTTTAAATAAGCGTCTCATATAAAAATTGCTAAATGGTATGACGTTTAAAAAAAATCTCATGATGGCGATTAATATTAAGTTGTTCCAGATTTAAAAAAATGGTGCGTGTAGTGGACTAAAATTCCAATTTTTTTATTTTTTTATTAAAACTTAGTTAAATTATTAGTTAACTAGCTGACCCGTCCGACGGGGACACATCAAAGGAAAAACGAAATTGTTATTTTTATTTAATTCCGGGCATTTTCTTAATTATCTACGTTTTAAACCTTCTCTGGACTTCCACAAATAATTCAAGACCAAAATTAGCCAAATCGGTCCAGCCGTTCTCGAGTTTTAGCGAGACTAACGAACAGCAATTCCTTTTTAAATATATAGATTATTACATTGCCAGCACCAAAGAAAGAATGAACGATATGCCTGTCATATTAAACGAAAAAGCTATGTCCTTGATCTCAGTACAAACTAATGACGCTTCATAATACATACGTTGTTCTACTTTCATCTCACGCCTGACCGCGAATTAGATTGCCCTACCAAATTTCGCCATATTCGAGAATGTATTACATGAATTCCCGTAAACGAATCTTGTACATCAATGCTAATTATGTTACTTAGTAATTGATAGCGGCATGTTAATAGCATGAGAAACAATTCATTGGTACACTTCATCATAGGTTTTAAGCGAAGTTTTCTTAAATTTACTTAATATGTATTGTGTGCAATTTATGCTCTCTAGATACGGTCAACAATATTTTCCATCGAAACTATCCAGAACCAATATTTGGATTGTCATTGTATTCTGATTTGAACTTAAAGCGGCTTAGATTTATTTTTCTAACTGAACCTATTATAAATGTATAACTTAGTTTCGTTTATTCCCAAATAAAAACTCATGAAAAGACAAGTAAGACTATTTTTAATTTGAAACTTAAAAAATCACAAATACCCGGTAATTTTTGAACGTTGGTAGCATTGTGTTTGACAGAAGCGCTCGAATGATCCCAGAGGATTATTGTGATTGTATTTTATAGACTCATCAGTGGTCGTTACTGTTGTTGTAATTCCATTTTGTTTTAATGTTAAGCTTATTTATTGTTTGTAATAACTCGGCGTTACATCATTCAAGGGCGAAAACCGTTTTCAAGACCTCAAAAGGACCTTCTGAAACTATGAAGGGTGTTTATTTTATACATCACTTTCAAAGCAAATTTGTAATATTAAGTAAAGTGATTTCTGGCCTTAATAACAGTAGAATAGTCGTAATTTTAACTATTGAATCTTCCACAGTATGCCTCAGGTATTTTCACGAAATAAAAGAGGCGAATATTGCTATACAAAATAACTCATTTATTTAAAAGAAAAACAGACTCAAGATTGCACATGCCATTTTTGGGGGAGATTATCTTAGGTACCTATATTAAAACTTACGCAGACAAATCAAAGAGTTCGAAATATGCTGTCGATCCCACTACATACAAATTCTTCATAATATTCAAAGGTATTTAATAGTGACGATGACCTCTACATATAGATCGGATACCACCATACAAATGCCTATTGCAGCCAGGAAATAGTAATGCTCTCTGGCGTTAGGGACAGGAGAGGCGATTTACACTTGAGTCTTTTATCTTATATTTCATATTGTCGTGCCCATAGACACCAGATACTTATACCAGGTACGTAATACCAGGTGGGCTGTGCGTTCACTGGACAATTCAAAGATTTAAAACATCATGAAATACATTTACTTTCTCGCTGAAACAGATACTGATACAATTCCTATTGCGTCCGACATTGTGAATCAACGTTCTTTCTTTAGACTATAAGCGTATGTATGATACGGGCCTAATGAACGCATATATCTCTTTACTACAGGGACGTGAGACGATACTATTTTGACAACCGAACGTGGCTCACCAGATTGATTGATTGATTTTAAAAACCAACTGTTACAACCTCGAATTTAGAGTTCTTAATTGATAATAATTTTAAAATTAATGCGCCTCTTCCTGTTTTCTTAACTCACATAAAACTGTAGCAAAACAAGTTTAATTTTCTTCTATTAAATACGTAAATAGAGTAAGCTACAGTGCTTTATCAATCGACGACCTATGATCATCAATCGCCTAATGACTACAAACGGGAAGGGACGACCATTTATATGGCAATTTTGAGTTTTTATTACTGACAACACTCGGTGATTCACCGGAGTTTGAACGACCTTTTTTTTTCTTAATTTAGAAATAAACGGTCTTGTGTGTGATAAATGTTTTTTTAATGTTTGGTAATTGAGTGAAAATAGGTATTAAGTTTCGTCATTGGAAATGTTCTAGGCTAGGAGCAAGCAATAATTAAACGAATGTTTTTTTTTAAATCTTATTTCCAGTAAAGTTGAATCCGAAATCCAGCAATACGTTTGAGGGAAGAACATTTTAGAAAATAACAAATTATAATGTTGTTTTGATTGGTAACTGAAAGGATCGAAAACTCGAATTAAAAACCATATGTCATCCCTACATGTAATGTTTGTAGACGCCTGAGTCGATTATCGATATATTTGAGCTGCGGCTGTTCATAAGAAAATTATAAGTTTTATTGGACGCCACTTAGATTTTCAACTACACGCTAATCTACCAGCGAAAACTGATTCAAAGAATTAATACCTTTGCTATTCTTTTAAAAATAGCGTTATATTCATAGTATATAGAATGTTTGACTTCTTGAACTAGAAGAACTAGAGGAACTATTTATTTGCTTTTAAATAGAAATATTACGGAGATCTGGTGTAAAGCCATTAATAGACCAGTTGCTTTAGTCAAAAAAAAAACAGCGTCGAAGCGATATTGTCAAAAACTTCAAATTCAAATATGACATTAGCAAATTTAGTTATTTTTTTATTTAAACTTCGAGAATCGATCGAGAATCCCGCGCAAATCTGCTCAAGAAGGTAGGTATAATATTAATAACAAGGGAAAACGTACAGCTCGATTGCCGACTGCTCAGTGTAATGTAGAATGTACATTGTCTGGCCGGCTTCGTCGGCGATACTGGGTCAACACTGTCCAAACGCCTCGTGCGATGAACTATGGCCGTTACCGTTCCGATCGTTATGACGTTTTGAAACAATTCGTAAATCAATTTTAGGGAAAATACGATCGCAACACGCGCCTTTATCCCGGTGTGTTGTCAGTTAAGCCCTATCTCTGGCAACCCTACTGTTTTGACTTGTCAAATCACGATTTGCATTTTTAAAGGAATTTTCAATAATTATTTATTCGAATGCCACTGCTTCCATAAGCCCTCTGTATTAAATTTGTTTAATAACAATGAACAATATAAATGTAAATACAAATTTCTTTGCCTCACCGTAATTAATTTATGCATATCCTATGCTTTTAAAGTCTATTATTTTTTCCTATATTTATAACTACAGTTAACAAAATGATATTTGAATATTATTATGGCAAAATCGTACTTGTTTTATTGCATGAAGCCTGCACACAGGAAGTCCAACAAAAATGGCGCCTTTTAGAATACTTTTTAAAACAGTGTTTCCAGCCAGCAAATTAACCTCTTTACAGATCGGGACACTTGAAAAGACTTTTTTCTTTGTAAGTAGGTGATGTCAATTTTACTGCCGGTTTTATTGAGTTCCAAATTCAAATTACCGCCGATGATTAATCGACTATAAATGATTACTCGGTTACCTATTTACAAACTTTTAATAAATGTTTGTAATTTCGATAATAAGATGTTGTTTTCTTTTTGACTTTTCTTTATAGCTTTTCGCAATTATCATGGAACAATTTTAAATTTATTTATAAGTTTAGATTCTCACAAGAGAATTGCAGAGATACAAAAAAAAATACATAATTAAAATTATTTCAAATTAGTTCAGTAAATAAATAATTCAAAGTTAAAGCGTGAAACAAAATAAGATAAATTATTGATATAGCATAAATTCATCATTATTGTATTCAAACAAAAAATATTGAGAAGCTAAAAAGTTTATGTCCGACTTGTGAACGATGGCTAGCGACGGAAAACTCAATGAAACTTTTCCCAAAAGAATTAACTAAGATAATATTAGCTGCAAAACTCTTACACTTATTCACGAAATTAGCATAAGAAAACTTTCTTTTTAAATACAATGCCTAATTTCATTAAAAACACAAAACTTTTATGCCCTCACATCATTTTGAAACTGAATAAAAAGTCTTAACTTCCGCGTTGAAAGAAACTCTCGTAAGTTTTCCAAAAGCTCACGTGTGACACGAATAATTTCAATTTGACACATACAGTTTATTTAACAATTATATTATACCTAAATAGTGTACCTAAGCGCAAACAAAACAAACATAATAACATGTATACACCACAAATACAAATATACCTTCAAACGTTATCGGAAGCGCGTATTCGTAACACAAAATCCATTCTGTCTTCAACGTTACAGGCACAGAATCTAATGCATGCGTCTTTCTTTGTCATTAACCTTCATGGTGCTCTGGTTTTAAATCGGCAACGATTTATTTTTGAAACAAGATTACGCGCGGTCCGATCTAGCGGCGGAACGATTGGCACGTGCGGCACCCCCGACGGCCTACACCCAACTGAATTCTGTAAAAGCTCCTTGCGAACGTGGGGCATCGGTTCTATTTATAATGTTAAGTTGTACTGCCTGGTCCGTTCCTCGTCGGATCCGAAGTTACTAGGTCGCTCCAGCATGAAGACGTGCTCACTAATCGAATGCTTAATTTAGAGTTTAATGATAGGTCTTTGGTAGGTCCGTACGGATCGGTCTTGCTCACTTCTGCCGCGATGTGGTCGGTCCTGCCGGCTTAAAGAGTAGCCGGTAGCTCAGTGTACCACGCTTTGAACTTTTAAACTAAATAACATAAGGATTCCAGCAATAGCTTAATATTGTGAGACAATCACGCTCCTATGTGATATCACGAACAGTATATATGAACTAACGAAGCATCTCTTCTCTTGTAGAGATTATTACTGCAGTATAAACTCAGATAAACATGTTAGCAAAGGGCTTAACATCTGGTCACACACACACATCAGTTTGAATCACACATTAGGATAAGATCGTAAAATACACGATAGCAATTAACATTTCAAATTTAACAAGTTTCTGGAGAGCCCAAACGAATGAACCGTGAAGATAAATGACGGACAAACACACCTTCGTAGCCGTAACGAATCTATTCATAAGTGGGCAAAATAGTAACAATATTGGAAGGGCTCCAACAATAATATAGACGTATATTATAAAGGCTCCTTCACAGAATACGATCGAGGATAATATTATTTTATTTGTGACGATTTAGTCGCGTCTTGGCTGTATGTTAATGTTTTGGCGTTTGTGAAAAACCCTTATTTATGTATCTTCCATAAAAGTATCAAGAAATTATTAAAACGAACGAAAATATTCAAATAGTTTTCTAGTAGTTTGAGGCAATATTGTTTCTGTCGAGCATCGGGTGGTAAATGTTTGCCGTCTCTGATAATGTTAGAGGCGTAGTCGGATTTGGCTACTGAAGACTCTTCAAATCTCAATTGAACATTCGGGACACATCGAGAGGTCTTCCTGGTGGATTCAATGGCTTCTGATTTAGTCAATGGGCTTGAAACAATTTAAGTCACACTAATCAATATTTCTTAGGGGCAGTCAAGTGTCATATGTACACATATCATTTCTCTGTTCCTTCAATACCCATATCTTCAAATCATTAGGTTTATCTAAATGGCCACTTGTCCTATGCAATAGACATTTGCGTTATGATATCGTCTATACGATCCTCTTTAAAACGATCGTTTTTTCCTACCAATTTGCTGGTAGTGTAAGGGGATATTCTACCCATGCCCGGAAGGGTAGGTGAGCTTACGGGGTCAACCTGAGAGAATTTGTTAACTCTAGCCCTAGCCAAAGCAGTGCACCGCAGAATCTACCACAGGAAAAACGATCTGTGATCATGTCTGCTCAATCCTGCCCCCTGAGTCGCATTCCTCATATCTGAGGGTCGTGACCATGTCCTCCCATTATCCTCCGCTGGATGATGTTTCGCCATCGTCCTCTGTTCTCGGTGTATCGTAAACTGTGGTATCTAGATTGGTGATGATTTCGTCGAACCAGCGCATTGGATTGTTGCCACGAGATCTTTTGCCTACAATCTTGCCAGCCATCAATTTGCGGCTCAATCAAAGCCAGTAAAAAAATAGTGACTGCAATAAAAGTCGTTCAAGAAATCGTAATTGCGTGAAAGCCCTTATACAGATAATACAATCTTGCCCGACCACCAGCTCCGGCTCCCGACATTATTTACTGAAACAACATATTTAGTTGCATACGAAAACTATAAAACATCAATAAATAAAACATTCGGCATTTGTATTATCGTAAAATTAAATTGTATCGTAAAATTATTGCGGACTTCTCCGACTACGGCCATTTTGCACGTCAACGCTTGTCAAATTTTTAATATTTTTTTGTTTGTTTTCAAACTGTTTTCAATGAGAAAATTTAAATGTGATTTTGATTCATACCTGTATTATATCATTTGTTTATGATTATGTATGTATGTTTATGATGCTTGCCGTGGCTTTAAAGCTAACTTATCTCTAGAAAGTCTACGAAATGATATTTTTTTCTAATTGTATTACAGTTATAAGAGATGTTACAGAGATTGCGAGATTAATTACAATAATTTATTAGAGAATTAACACATAAAGCAAAATACTGTGAACAGAATTTATCTGCCCATAGACCCAGAGGTTCAGGACGATCAGAAAAACCGATATGTTGAAATTATCGTTACAGAACAAACAAAAGAAACCTTCGCCTTCTAATTATGGTATAAAACAATTCGGCACAGAACTTCTTTTCGTTTCTAAATCACATAATATAATATGTCTGAAGTAGAAAATAAACTCCGTTCTCTTTAAAAATTCTGTAAAGATCTCCACACGGACATTAGTCATACGATAATTATATTTCATATGTTTTGGCCGCGACTTCAGCTTTATAACGAAAAAAATTTGCGAGAATATAAAGAAACTATCTAAAAAATAGTGTAATAATTATATTATTTTTTTAAAACAACTTTTTGACCTAGGACATTCTCGTGATAATGAGTGTTCAAGTTCGTCAGTAATCCATTGAGTACCACGAAGCAGAAGAAGAAAATTCGAAGGTTGGGGCAGACGTTTACCTGTGACTCAGAACTCATATCTCGAGGTGGATGGTGGCAATTATGGTGTTGATGTCTACGGTCCGCGGTATCCACTGGTGTTAACTCGACAGATCGTGAGTTCGTTCACCAGTCTAAGCAATAAGAAGGGAAATTTAAAAAAAAAAACATGTTTGCCCTTCGACTCTATAAGTAGATGCCTCTCTAGTGATTAGTCATGGACTTGCATCTTATATTTACAGTAGAAGAGTTCCTGAATATCGACAAACGTAGCTTACGGCAAATTTTTACTAACTACAGGGCTCAGCACCATATGCCCATAGAGGAGATTCGAGTTCTTTGGACACATTGCCAGAAGGTGACAATTAAAAAAAGCTGCTAGTAACAGGCGAGGTCTCTATAAGCAAGCCCAGAGCTAGAAGTCTAATACGGTGGTCGGACCAGATATGCCCTACCTCCAGACCACGATGCCATCCACAGAGCCGAGAATAGACTAAGTTCGCGCAAGAAGATCCACGAGAAAGTCATAGAGGATACGGCCCTTAACATTGAGGATTATCGGCTCAAGAAGGAGGAGGAAGGCGTATTGTGAGCTTAAATAAGTAAACATCTCCATCCAACGTACTTATGGCGCAGGAGCCATGTTTTTTCGCTTTGATGTATGAGACACCCACTCTACAATATAATTGACAATTCTACCTCACCTGTTCTAGTTTAGTGGACTCTATTTAAGATCTTCATGCAGAACGTCACCGATGTGAAGGCTTTTTTATTATTTATTTTGTATTGCTTAGATAGGTGGACGAGCTCACAGCCCACCTGGTGTTAAGTGGTTACTGGAGCCCATAGACATCTACAACGTAAATGTGCCACACGCCTTGAGATATAAGTTCTAAGGTCTCAGTATAGTTACAACGGCGGCCCCACCCTTCAAAACGAAATGCATTACTGCTTCACGGCAGAAATAGTATAGTACCTACCTACCCGTGCGGACTCACAAGAGGTCCTACCACCAGTAAAGTAAAGGCTTTCGAGTAATTCAACCAGTATGTAACACAACGACCTAAAACTAATTGTTAAATTTATTACAGCAGAAGAAAAAATTAAAAAATCAGTTGTGTAAATATGAAAATTTAAGGAACAATTTATAACTTCAGTTTTTCACACAAACAAGATTTTTCACGTAATAATTTCATTGAGATAAAGTCGTTTGTTTCTATTCCTGAAATATGAAATGATTCATTTTAAACATAATTTTTATATAAACATTTATTTTACAATCACGAAACGTGTTGACAAACTCTAGACTCACTATAATTTATTCGTTGTTTTATTTATTATCACAATATCGAATATCTAAAATGGCGGCCAAATTTTCCCGCTTAAACGTGACAAAGTTGAATATTTATTGACGACAGACGCTCAGTCATAGGTTGTCATTGCCATCGCACTGTCCGCCGCCGAAGTGGACTTTATCTATACTACCTAAGACCACTATGGTCATTCACTTCTTCGCGACTATTTTCGCCACGTACCATCCGACTTTGGAGTGAGCTCCTCTATGATATTTCTTGAGCGCTATGACATGTCCTTCTTCAATGGTGGCTTGTGGAAAGCACTTAACAATAGGCTTGGCTATGCTTCTGCATTGCTGACGTCCATGGGCGACAGTAACCACTCACCGACTGATGGGTCGCATTCTCGTCTGCCTATAAGGGCTTTTTTTTTACTTGTGATGTATTCTGAGACCGCTAAGCGTGTACCGTGTTTGTACCGTGCTCTGCGTATTTTCCACCAAACATTCCTCCTTCAAGAGCAGGTCAGCCTTTTTTAAGCTGAAAATGAAACTGAAACTTTGAGCTTACTTCACAAAATGGATTGCGTTCATGATAATAGGTACTTGTGATAGTTTGTCACGCATTTGTGTTCCATTAAAGTAATAAAAACCGTCTGACTCACTATTGAGACCACGACCTCAAACCTCAAGGCTGGTATTATTTACGTAGTAGCGTTTATGTCTTCTAATAATCTGTTAACATCAAATCAGCTCGGCGCATTGAAGCATCCAATTACCGCACAACCAAACTAACCTGGCCTATAAAAAGCCCTGACTTTTGTTCATAACTATAATATACATGCGTAAGTATCGAAAGGAATCCGTAATATGTCCACAGTACGGTACCTCGGTACCGTGACGACCCAAAAACACAGGTGGTGGCAGTAAAGTGCCACGCATACTGTCATACATAATAATAACACGCTGTATGTAGGGGCTCGATTGATGAGCTATGAGAGGGTGATGTAGCGTTTTAATGTGCCTTTTAAATGTACTAGTGGTGGGATCTCTTGTGAGTCCGCGAAGGTAATGTGTTTGTAATGCGTTTCGGTTTGAAGG